GAGGGAATTAAAAGTGCGTAAAAGACCGTGGGAAAATAATACAAGAAAAGGAAGGGGGGGTTGAAATAAACACAGTTAAAACCTATCCGGCCTCCGTAAACGAAAACACGCGTCGATCGTGTCACGATGCACGCCAATCAATCCCTTGAGTTAAACGCCGCAGGAATCTAAAAAAATTCCCCATCGGTAATAGGCTTCGCGTACCCCCACCAAGCCCGACTCAACTACTTCAGCTTCGAACTCGCATCAAGATTCTGGAGAATCCTCCACTCTTCCACCTCCCTCACCGTCGGCCGCCTCTCCTCCCCCTGGTATCGAATAGGCGTCTGCCCCGCGATCCTCCGCAATTTAAACCGGTGCAACATCGTCTGCGAATCCAGCACGTCCACGCCATGAATCTCATAGAGCCCGTCGTACCGGAACCCGGCAACGGGACGATAAGGGTTAATCTTGGGCAGCTTCGAGCTGCGCAGGACGCGGATGGGCGTCCGGTTCGCATGTGATTCGATCAGCAGGTTCGTGCCCGCGGATATCTGGCCATCCTTGCCGTGCGTGCCGCAGTAGGCGATGGTATCCCCCTGGTCGACGTCTGGGTACCCTTTCCCCGCCGAGCTAAGGATGATGGAGACGGCGCCGACCTTGTTGCGGCCGGAGATGCCTGCTTCCATTTCGCCGTGGGCGCCGTCGCGGATTGTGGTGATTTGCAGCGGGAACCATTGGCCGTTGCGCAGGTGGTTGTCGCCGACAACGATGCTGTCTCGTTTGAATTTGTAGGTGGGGTCGAGTTTGCGGGCGGATCTGTTGCGTTCAGCAGTCATGATGCCACGGAGTAAATTCGGGTCGAAGTCCCCACGTTGCCAGCGGAAGAGGATCGCTTCGCAATCTAACTTGATGTCCCAGGGGACGGCGTCGTCGGGGCTGTTAACGATGGCTGGAAGGCCGGTGTTGTAATCCATGAATTTTTGAAGGAGGGAAGGGAGAGCTGCGCTGACATCGTAGAATTGCAGTTGTTGGATGCGTCCCCGCATTCCGTTGAAGATGGCGGGGCGTTCGCTCTCCGGGGCGGTGGATGCTCGTTTGAAGAGCGTGAGTAATGAGAGGACATCGTCAGCTGA